GGGGGGGGGGGTCACGATCTCATTCTGCTTGCCAACAAGCGAGACTGACAGAAAAAAAAATGCATTTTCCTCTCCGTCAGTCGTCAACCAGATTTGTTCCAGTTCTTTCCCCCTTCTTCTGCTGCAGTTGCGCGGGCGTCACCCAACCCACGGCCCAAAAGACCCCCTCTCCCCTGCTGTACCACCATGCCTATCATTGTGAAAGGTGAGCGCCTCCAGATCCCATGAGAAAATTGGCGGGTGCAAGGGAGTTGGGAGTGAGTGGGGTGGTCAAACGAGGGAGGAAGGAGGAAGGGTCGCTGCACCAGATAGCATTGCAAAACGTGCGCCGTAATAGTGCCCTCTCTCCCCCCTACAAGCAAACAAAGTGTAACACTATCCAGTGAGCCAGCATATCCATTGAGCCGCAGCGGGCGGTGGTCATCCCACCACCACCACCACCACCACCACCGAAGGCAAACAAACAAAGACGAAGAAGCAAGAGGGGGGAGGTCAGATGCAACGGGCCGAAGATTCCGGGTTTTGCCTCTTTCCATAATTAAGTTACTGTGTACTTACTACTACCGGTAGACAATACTGTACGTACTGGTACTTAGATTCCAGGTAATAGGTAATATATCGTCAGGAGGTTAATCCTTGCCGATAATCCGATGGAATTATGAGTAGAAATGGGTTTTCCAACTTATGCACGTTGCCGCGTTGGACCCGACAGATGATGGAAAATCAATTCATGCTTCCCAAGGCTTTATTTTCTCTTTTGCTTCTTGTCTACAAATGGCTCCAACCTCGAACTGTTCCTTTTCCGCCGCTGCTTCGTCTTCATACTTGCTGCTGTCCTACCTGAGCTGGAATCTTGACCTTTGGGCTCACAAGAAGCAGAGCGGCTAGGGCAGACCGGTCAAATGTGACCACCGTTACTGTACGTCAATGGCAAAGATAGTTCCGAGACGTTGGGAGGACTAGACAGAGTCTGACTGCGTTTACATCTTTACCGGTCATTTATGCAAGACGTGTTAGATAAGGCCTCTCTTGGTCGCTGCGCTCGGAAAGGCTATTAGGCTGTTCACATGGAACATGCACTGCACTGTGCATGAGGCTGTTGATGGTCGCCGCCTACTTCCAGCAACCATTGACATCACAATCAGGTTCAGCTGCATGCTTGACACCGACGACATCGACTACTTCATTGACGAACAGGCAATACAGTATACTTACAGTCTGACAGTATATATTTTTGAGTCACCTGTGTGCCGTCATCACTAACTCTAAAAATAACATGACCATGCGTCGGGTATCATGAAGCTGTGCAAGTTTCCTGGAATATGCTGATGTGATCGGCCAGACTGATCACCAGTCTTGTGGCACTGTAGTTTGCGCCTAGACTCAGTTTCACGCAGGACCCAACCGAGAATCCAAATGCACCTGCATTGAATATTCACCTGGGAAAGCCTCGTGCCGACATCAGATACGCTGATGTCAGCGTGTGACAGACTCTCGTTGACAGAAGCCCGAGATCTTAATCTTGATACCCAAAGCAACGCTGACGCCCTCTATCGAGTTTGAAGTATGAGCACAGCCTTCGTATATAAGATGTCAGTTCCTCAGTGCGTCCATGGATTTCCTCCATCGCGGTCCGTAGACTTTCATCACAAAGAGGACAGAACTGCTTGCGAAAGCGACTAGTCCAAGGATGGTGAAAAGCCATCCATTGCCGATGGCATCTATAATCGGCGCGGTGACCACAGAGCCCACACACGAAAAGATATTGCGCATGAAATTGTTGAGGGCAACGCCCGCAGATGACTTCTTGGGCATGAATTCAGTCAACATCGTCGTTGCCATACCGAAGATCAGCATGGAGCCGACACCGAAGAAAAAGTTCGCAATCATCTGCCCGGTACAGTCAGTGAGGCTTCAGTATGTGTATAGACATGGACATTGGGAATTCTTCAATGGCAAGTGACAGCCTTGAGGGCTTGGAACGTACCGGTGCCAACCAAAACACGCCCCGATCTGCACACCAGCCATACCAGATCAGCCCAGCAGGGTAAAGGAAAGCCCCAAGCCAGGCGTTCTCGCGCATGCGGTCTTCAGGATGGTATATGAGCTTGCCATTTTCGTCGTACCGTCTGGCTTTCTTGGCCTCCCGTTGCATGATGCTATCCATCCACCGGCCTCCGAAGGTACTGGCCACCACGTAACCCAGTGAGTTCGGAATATATAGCAAGCCGACGATGATTGTACTGAAGTTGTACGGGCTACCTCCGAATGTGTGCTCAACGCTAACGTTGAGTACATATAGAGAGCCGAACGTGATGCTGGCATAGTAAACCGTGAGCAGAACGGGGGGATACCGCAGATAGAGGATAATCTTCAGAGGATCCAAGAGTACCATCTTGAGATACTTGAGCCATCTGGTTGTAAAGTGAATGACTTGCCGAGATGAGACACGACTCAATTGACGATCCATCTGTTCCGGTTGTTCTTCCTTAGGTTGTCTTACCTGGCCAGAGACGGCCAGGGTCTCAGGAAGTGCAAGAAAGATGAGGATGACAGTGATAGCTCCCCAGACTGCCAAAAACCACAATGTACTTCTCCATCCCCATCGCTCGGCTAGAGCACCACCAACTATGGGAGCTAACAATGGCCCGCACAGCGGCCCCAGATAGAAAATGTTCATAGCACGCCCTCTTTCCCTTGGCTCCCAAAGATCGGCAATAGTTCCTGCGCCGACTGCTTGGACCGATGCAGAAGCACCTCCACTCAGAAGTCGCAAGACAATGAGCATAGCGATTGAGCTAGAGATGGCACACAATGAGTTGAATATGACGAAAAGAGTGAAAGAGACAAGATATATTGTTCGACGTCCAAGCCTTTCGCTAAAAGAAGACCACCACAGGGGAAAGATAGACATGCTAAGCATGTATAATGAGATTGACAGGTTCGTGACGGTAGTCGAGGTACCCAGTTCCTTTGACACCTGAGCCAAGGAGGCTTTTCCCAGCGGAGGCACGGGTTAGAATAGATTTGGCGTCAGGGGAGATGAAAAGACTCACGGAAGAAGATCGAGCTGCCCATGGGAGCTGCAGCCCCTGCTACTGCAACTATGAATGTTATGAACCATTTTGTCTTTCGAGGATAGACTTTGGGATCTACCACCTCCGCCAGCAGCGTGAGCTGCCCAAAGAGGCCCCTACGCTCCAGTCGGGGTACCACAACTGGCTCCTCTTGCTCTTCGTCAGAAGTGGAAGTCGAAGAAGCACGGTCTTCTTCATCTTTACCTTCTATCACCGGAGAGCCGTTGGATTTCTGAGGCTGGGGCATATTGCCAACGTGTGTTTCGATTATATTCTTGGACGGTACGACGTCACGGTGAGTCTTGCTGGTAGCCGCAGGGGTTTCGACCTTGTCTTCATGAATGCTCTTGTCTGCCGCCATTATCCATAGAGATATTCAAAGCGAAGATGGGTGGTAGATTGACATCCGAGCACAGGCGATGTACGGCTTAGCGAGCACGAAAGTTATTTATACTGGCTTGTCGGACTCTTCTCTGAATCTTAATGAGAGGTAGGGCGGATTTTATGTTCTAATGCCTGGATGGAGGATAATAGAGACGAAAAAGTCGAGCAAGCAAAGGGGATCACGCATGCGCCCTTCAGTAGGGTTAGTGCGACTAGTAGTTGAGTTGAAATGATGCCTGGCTAGTATGTTGAAGCTCGCTGGCCATTGTCGAGCTGCGTAAGAGCAGATCTTGTTCTTAACTTTGCATGGCCGATAAGAGAGGACGAGAAGAAGCAGAAGGAAGATTGGGCGAAAATAGTTCTGGGAACAACGGGGGAAAATCCTGAAAGACTTGGAGGAGGAGGAGGTGTTGGTCGGTTAGGTAGTGTGTTGTTGTGCACCCCGTATCTCGCATGGGTCCCAAACAGGCAGGCGATAGCCTTCGCCGGGCGAGGGTCTCCCTCTCCCCCACTTTACTTTACTTCTCCTTCTTCTTGCCCAGCGGACCCATCGTTATCGAATTGCCGATTGTGTGCTTCACAACTGGAATGACTCCAACAAAGTCTACGATACGAGTGACGAGTATGTAAGCAGCAGTGAGCAAACCCTTCCATTCTGCAAATCAAGTCCTAATCAAGTAGGCCCAGGCAAGCCAAGGCCGATGCCGTTCCATCCGAGGGCTCCAGTCGGAAGGCTTGATGAGCGGGCATTGCCGCCCTCCATCCAAGAATAAGAAACTTACCGAGGTCAATGCCCGCTTGGAGAGTGGGGAGCTGGATTCTTATCCGAGTCACTCGGTAGAACTGTGCAATACATACTTGTTTCCAGTTGCCGGTCTCGTGAGTGGCCACCATTGCTGCTTCAGGTCATTGTCGCCAGAAGAGATTCTTCTCATCATCATTGAACATATGACGAACACTGTGAGACTCTCAGCTGTGCCCACTTGAATCTAGGTGCGGCTCACTATAGTAGAAATCTCATGGGAGTGGAGTTGCTTATCTCGTGGAGAGAGCAAGCTCTCGAGCTCTATCAATGATGCAAGGGTCAACCCCTGGAGTTTGAGCTCGGCTCCACACGTTTGCAATACATTTAAGCTCAAAATCATTGACCAAAACGTCTGGAGTCGAACGTGTCGATTGTTCAGACAATTCAGTGCGGTTGACTCTTTGTGGATACTTCAACCCGGATCCGCCGGTCCAAGTTGCCCCACGCCCACCAGCAGTTCGAACCGATACTTGATCGAACATCCTGCCTTCCTATGCTTTGGAGCATACATACACGCAACAGGCTAACAACACCATCAATCCTGAAGTGCGCCAAAGAATTCACCACCTCCAAATCTCGAAAAGCAATTTTGTCTCGATACAATCTGTGAATCTGCAAGCAAGATGGCGACTCCAGACAGGGCCACCATGCAACGGAACGTCAGGGACACGTTGGCCAGGTATCAAGGAGATGACTATGTTCACGGCTGGGCTGAACTCTGGAATAAGAACGAAAATTTGCCTTGGGACAAGGGCATTCCTAATCCCGCATTGGAAGATACCCTCATCCAGCAGCGCGCGACCCTCGGGGGTCCAATTGCCACGGATGCACAGGGAGCAACCTACCGAAAGAAAGCACTGGTTCCCGGCTGTGGCAGAGGAGTAGATGTGCTTCTTCTTGCCAGCTTTGGCTACGACGCCTATGGACTGGAGTATAGCGACGCTGCAGTCAAAAATTGTGAAAACGAGGCAGCTCAGAATGGGGACAAGTATCTTGTCAGAGATGCTGGAATAGGTCGAGGGAAGATCGCTTTCGTGCAAGGTGACTTTTTCAAGAATGACTGGTTGGAGAGTCTACAAACACCGCCTAACTGCTTTGACTTGATATACGATTATACGGTAAGCCTACTTGGCTTGACCCCTGTTTTACGTTTCTTATGTCTTCGTCCACGATAGCCAGGATCTGGGCTTACATGCGTCTACAGTTCTTCTGCGCACTAGACCCAACGATGCGGCCAAGTTGGGCTTTGCGACACACCCAACTTCTGGCGCCTTCGCCGCGTGGCAATCTGATTTGCTTAGAGTTTCCAAGGCACAAGGATCCGACGCAGCAAGGACCCCCTTGGGGAGTGTCATCGGAGGCCTACATGGAGCATTTGAGTCACCCGGGCGAACAAATCCCGTATGACGCTCAGAGCCGATGCAAGATGGATCCTCTTCGCGAGCCAAGCGAGCATGGTCTCGAGCGCGTGGCGTACTTCCAGCCTGCTCGGACACATGAAGGTGGCAAGGACAGCAACGGGGTGGTTCAAGACCGAGTCTCCATTTGGCGCCATCGGTAGTGCGCTTGTGCGGGTGGAAATCGAGACGGATACACATCATCATGAATCAGTCAATCCCTTGATGGATCCACCGGTCTGATTCGCTCAAATTGACTCTCGCTTCTGCTGCTTTTCTCTCTCTCTAGGACTGCTTCGATAGTGCATTGTAATGCTCCCCAAGCCCATATGTATGCCTGTAGTATGCCAGCCAGATGACCCGTTTACTCCTCTCTTCGTCATCAAGTCCATCCACATCACCCGGCTCTATCTTCTCAATCCTCCCGTCGCCTTGTATAACATTGATCTCGACGCCGTATGCCCTCGCAAGCGCCTGCAGCTCGAGCTGTCCACCCCACTCAGCAGTCAGCTTGATCTTCCTGGTGTATTGATCCAGCGGCTCCTCCATGAATGCCTCGAAGTCATCTTTATGTTCAGCAATGAAGTCCGCGGCCACCGCCCGGACTGCTCGGTACCCATCGTGCTTGGGGAACGTGACCGTATCCACCCGCGACTGAGTGGGAGCCTGGAGAACCATCCTCTTGGGATCCGGATTGAGACCCACACCCATCTCATCCAGTTGACTCGCAATCGCAGAGTACAAACAATGTCCGTCCGGGTTGATCTCGATCTCCTTCAGCTGCAAGCGCTTGAACACGGCGTCCATAACCTCCTTCTCGTTGCCCCGATGGTCGGTCTGGTTCGCGGCCTCCTCCGCTGCAATGGCCGACTGGGCCGCTTGCTCGGCTGCACGACGCGCGAGACGGGCCTTTTGGCGGTTCGGCTTCTTGGGGCGCGCGCCGGAGGGCTGCGGGGTGTCGGTGGTGGTTGTGCTGTTGCTGTTGCTGATTGGGGGCGTTGACGTCGTCGTCGTCGTCGTCGTCGTCGTCGTGGAGGTCGAGGGATCGTCTGTGGAATTGTTGCCTTCGTCTTTGCTCGTCACATCATCATCACCGTCATTGGACTTGCTGTCGTGGAGGCTGAGGTCCTCGAGACCGTCGACGGGCTCGCCGCTCAGCTCCGCCAGCTGTGCCTGTTGCCGTTCCGTGAGCTCCCGCTGCAGTCGGTCGCATTCATCGTTGATGCCCTTGCGGGTTTTCTTGGTGGCGGACTTCTTCTTCTGGGTAATCTTCGCTTGGAGGTCTTTCTGTTCCTTGCGGTGTTGGGCTTGCAGCTCCTCCATGGCTGCAGGGTGGGCTGTAGTGGTTGTGGTGGTATACAATGATGATATAAGGATGAATTATAAAACTCTCCAAATTGGATTTGTATGAGCCCAACGACTCCAAGGAAAATATGCGAGAAGATTGTGGATAAATGGAGGATATAGGTCCCAAAGGTGGGCTGCTGGACTTTGCTGGATAACAAACACGCAGAGTGGTGGAATTGCCCCGCCACTGCAGGACTGCGCTCACTTTTTGCGGCCCTCCGTCCGCTCCGGTCTAATGTTGCCGCCTCAGGCACGAGTATCACTAGACCGGGTTTTACAACCTCAAGGCACCAGGCATCGCTGTAGTTAAACGACCACCACAGAGGCTTGATATGATCTTTTGAGAAGCCAGTGGACTTCCTCGAAAGAGGTAACCAGGAATGAAGCAGACAAAGATCACCGTCTCAACTTTGCCCTTGTTCTTTCTCAGCCCGGATTGCCTCGGCATCTTGTGCCAAGCCACTCAGTAATCGCTCGGCCGTCGGTTAGTTTACCCCAACATCGTCTCTCCGCATTGTATAAAGAGCTTCATCTGACACCGCTCTCGAGTCTAATGTTTAAGGTGAACTATTTCTTCAGCAGGTACTCTATATTGACAGCTCTCTCATCTATAGATAGAGACCCTGAAGACTCTAAAGCGAGCCCATCATGGATGTCCAGAAGCTCTTCGATGTGAAGGTTAGTCGCAATCATTACGCAAAATCGAGCGGCGCACACCCCCCTTTTTCCCAGTTGAGTATCATGAACGCTGAGCAAGCTATCAGGGCAAAGTCGTGCTGGTCACTGGCGGAGCCAAAGGCATTGGCCGCATGATCTCCGAGGGGTATGTAGCGAACGGTGCCACCGTCTATATCTCCTCGCGTGATGCGAAGGCCTGCGAGAAGGCCGCCAGCGAGCTCAATGCGCTCGGCAAGGGCAAGGCCTATGCCATTCCCGCCAACTTTTACCAAGAGGAAGATCTCAAGAAATTGGCAGACGAACTTGCCAAGCGCGAGAGTAGTGAGTAATGTGTCTTTCATTCGGTCCCCTTCCACGAGAGGCTTGGCGGTGGATGTGGGTGGCAACAATTGTGAAGCGCTTACCTGATTGTCACCAGAGCTTCACATTCTCGTCAACAACTCGGGATCGAACTGGGGTGCCCCATACGATGAATACCCATCTTCCGCATGGACACGGGTCCTCACTCTCAACCTTCACAGAGTGTTCGACCTTACTAAGCTTCTCACGCCCTTACTCGAGAAGGCCGCTGCGCCGGGCGACCCGGCTCGGGTCATTAACATTGGCAGTATCGATGGGCTGAGGGTTCCGGCACTGGAGACCTTTGCTTACAGTGCTAGTAAAGCTGGTTTGCATCATCTGAGCCGTGTCTTGGCCAATCATCTTGGAAGGAGGAATATCACGTATGTTGCGGCCCTCGTTGTATGGTTGCCTGCGGGAGTTGAGCTAATCTGGTTGTCTTCTCTGGCAGGTCGAATACTCTGGCCTGTGGTCCTTTCCAGAGTAAGATGATGGCCGCCACCCTGGAGGCGCATCGTGAGACCATCGAGGGTAATATCCCATTGGGTCGTATCGGGAGTCCGGAAGATGTGGCAGGGGCTTGTCTGTTCCTGGGGAGCCGGGCTGGTGCATATGTGAACGGAGCTACTATCACCGTTGATGGTGGTAGCTCTGTTGCTGCTAGGCTGTAATTAGTACTGTCAACGAGTCAAAGCATGCGAGACATTAGCCTATGGTCAATTCAGAATTAAATCAACATGAAGGTTAATCAAGGCTCCGACTTACCGGTGGGCAACACTCTGACTTCGTAGCTTGCGAGCCCGTACCACCTGATGAACGAGCATAGTCCATACCAGTACGAGGAGATGTGTCATTTTCGACAATAGTAGGTAATAGTGCGTGTTGAGGCGCCACTTTGTTGAGGCTAAAAACACTCAATCATCAGCTGACCAAGTTATTGATATGTCACTGCAGAACTTTCGAGCCATACGTATCACATTGATTATCTTGATCTTCTGTATGCATGTCATCTACCGGTACTTGGTACTCCGTAGTAAGGCAAAGTATGTTACTCATCGGCAACATATCATATTGCTTGTCATCGGTCGGAATGTTTACAGCGAGATGTACTCCGTTCATGCGTACGATGTTTCGAGAATGATTCTAGGGGTTTATCGCGACTTACGGCCGGAAGGGACGATCCCACTCCGCTCTGCCTTCATCCTTCCATCAAGAGCAAGGAGCGAGTTTCAACCATAATGACATTGAGATATCTGATCCCTGAAAACAGAAACTCATCGATGACAGAGCCCCGACAAGCGATAACGCTTTGGTCCAACCTTCACCCAGCTTGAAAAAAGCTCCTGGGTAAGAGGCAGGTCTCCGGTTCGTGGCCGGTATATAAAGTCATCGACAGCGGATAGTAAGCGCGCCGAGCACGATAGTCTAGAAACTAACGACCCGAGACTCTGCAACAGAGTTACTACCATGAATATTGGGTTGGCAATCCGGGTCAGAACAGCACAACTTGGACAAGTAACACCATAATCCTGTCCTTGGCAGATTGTGACTCTGCACGCCGGCATTGCGAATATTTTTGGGCGTTGCCGAGACCGCGCAGTCTGTCTCAACCTTATGCCGGGATTGAAGCCCTGCCATGGCATTCAATGATCCTTAACAATTGTCGCTGCATCGTGCATGGCTTTCGGAATTGCGTTAGGTATTCATCAAGGACTGCCAGCCACTTGCTCAACAACAATGTTTGAGCTACCCAACCGATGTTCCGCCGCAGTTCGAGGACAGCAGGACTCAACCTCCGTGTGTAACGCAACGGAGTGATGATGATTCGACCGTGCTACCAAACCATGGATTGTCTTAGCATCTCGATCATGTCGATCTTACTTCCCCCGTGATCAATTCGATTGAGAAACGCTAAATCCAATGCCAAGTCGGATCTGGTACGACCGCAGCAATGTGCATGGACCAAATCGATAAACAAATCCAGTACATGATGCAGGAGGGGAAAAAAAGACAAGACAGGCAAGCAAGCACCGTACCCAAACGGTGGAATTGGTCTTCAACCTTGATTCAATTACTTCTTTTGGGCTTCCTTGCTTCTCTGTGGCTCTGTCATGTGCCTCTTTTCTGCTCTCTTTTTGTGTACAGGTGGTGGGTGAAACGCGTCCACCTCACCTTACTGTACTTACTGTGCTTCGATTATCAGACACACAATTGTGGTTCCCCGCCGCCGATTGCTCTCTTATCGCACCGCTATCCAACGCCACGTCAAGGACGCAGAGAGTCAAGCGTGAGCAGGCATCGTCTAGATAGTACCTTAACCATTTCTATCTCGAGGCTTCGGGAGATTTCGCACCGGCCGATACAGAGCTGGCTTATCATCATTGGAACCGAAGTCAGCGGGCGAAATACCAACAAGAATTCGCTATTGAGTGGAGCAGGCGACATCATCGGTTCGTGGCGTCATAGTCTCCAAGGGAACCTCATTCTCGCCTTCTCACGTCTCGCCCGTCCACTTCTTCTCTCTTAGGACATCTCATTGAAATTCTGTGATTTAAAAAAGAAGATACGAATTCAGACCAGCCCGAGAAAGTCTTTTCTACCCCTCCCCCTTTTTTCTGTTTTATTTTATTTACAACAACATTCTGTTTGAGCTTTGTTGTTCGAGTGCACACCGCTCCTTTTTTCCCCCACGCGATAACCCTCAATTACTCTGAAAGAACCCACCCCCGAGTGTGACGTACCCCGAGATTCCGCGGACGCCAAAACTTCGACTCGTGGCCAAAAATATTATTCCTCTTCTCCCGGGTTCATCCATCCTCTTTGTTTAGCTGCACTTCAGCAGACCCTGGAAGTACATCTACCTTTGGTCTGCTTCTACTTTCCACTTATAGGAATCATTCCTTGTGATCGTGATCCCAGCTGGTATCTTTCAATACGAACCAGCTGTCGTTCCCAGCGCCACGAACGAGCCTAGCGTTCTCAATTATTGGCATCCTTGTGCTACCCCCTTTAGCCGGCAAACCAACAGCAACCCCTGCTCCGGTCCTCTTTTGCCCTAGTATTTTCTTTCGCCTCACCTGTCACTGAGCAACTTTTTCTCCCCTCCATCTTACATCCCCCCCTCCGATGATGAGCTCTTCAAGCGCCCAACACCGCCGGAACCAGTCGCTTGACCCATTTTCAGATCCCGACGTCTACTACGGAGGCGATGATGGCAAAGCGCGCATCAGGGATCGCAAACGAGCCTTCTCCTCGGTATGTACAACGGACTGAGTCAGATAAGCCCACCACAAGCGTGGCTGACCATTTCTCGATTTTCAACCACAGACTTTGAAGTCCTTCAACCGGGAAGACATTCAAGAATTCCTGGGAGGCGGTTTCCCAGCGAGGAGAGCCAGTCACGGTACGTACGAAAAAGAAGCATTTCTTGGCTGCACCAAGGTACCTTTGACTGACGCATCTGGACCACAGATGAGACCCCGTCAAACGACCGCAAATTCCTTATCGATGTCGATAAAACACTACACGATCTCCTGAAACGGGAAGACACGGATCAGAACATGCAGATCACCATCGAAGATGTCGGCCCAAAGGTAGGAGCGGATCTGTTGTGGGCTACATTCGAATGACAGCTGACATGGACGAAGGTCTTCTCCGTAGGAACAGCTGCATCATCGGGATACAACAGATTCGACTTGCGAGGCACATACATGCTATCCAATCTTCTCCAGGAACTCACAATCGCCAAGGACTACGGTCGGAAGACTATTGTTCTGGACGAGGCTCGTCTGAGCGAGAACCCAGTCTCCCGTCTGTCCCGCCTTATCAAAAACTCGTTCTGGACCGCCTTGACCCGGCGAATTGACGGCTCGAACATCGCTGAAGCGGGTAGGGACCCCAAGGATTGGACCGATGACCCCAGGCCTCGGATCTACATTCCTGTGGGGGCTCCTGAGCAGTATGAGTACTACAAGAAGATTGCAGAAGATTACCCTGAGCTTCGCCTGGATGTCCAGATGCTGGATGCCAACATCACACCCGACTACGTGAAGGACCTTAACAGCAAACCTGGAATGCTGGCCTTGGCGATGGACAAGACGGTTGACGAGGCTACCCAGAAGACCGAATACACCGGAGTCCCGTTCGTAGTGCCGGGCGGAAGATTCAACGAACTGTACGGCTGGGATAGTTATATGATCTCGCTCGGCTTACTTGTCAGCGACCGCGTTGACTTGGCCAAGGCCATGGTGATCAACTTCTGTTTCTGTATCAAGCACTACGCCAAGATTCTGAATGCTAACCGCTCCTACTACCTGATGCGCTCTCAGCCGCCATTCTTGACTGATAT